TTTTTTTTCATATGGTGCATCTACTTGTATACCAAAAGTACAGTCGCAATTCCGTACATATTGTAGATTTTTTTCGGGAGCTTATTCAATAAAGCATATCTTGGTTGACTTCTTTAATTCCTAAAATTACAATAATTAAATTTTTGATGACTCCTCAGGCTGAGGCTTCCCATCATGTTGATGCATAGACTGTTTTAACTGTGGGCTTGGATTTTTTTGAAAACTTTTGTGCTAGATAATATACTGGTAATCATCGTACACTCGGTTAAGTTATGCTCCCGGTAACACCTAGTCTAGATTACGAACTATCGTTTCTGTTATGAATGTCATATTTCTCCTGTGTATATGTTGACTTTGTACGGTATAACTTGAATGGAATACGAATTTCATTACATAGATGATGCATCTAAATCTAGGCCATCTGATGCCTATCATCTACGAAATGAACATTATAGTCTCTTCATGTTTATTCGTTAATAAAAATATTCATGCTCGGGAGAAATGTGACATTAATATGGCAGCCGATAGTTCATAATCAAGGCTAGGTACTACCGGGGGCATTTTTAAAAATTTATTCCGAGAGGTGGCCATCGATGCGCCACCGCCTCTAAGGAGTAGTTATTGGTGGAACATGAGTTTTTAGGGTAGGGTGGCCATCGGTAGGTGATAGGTGGAACATAGGCCGGACACGCCATCGATGCGCCATCGGTACTCCACCTATAATTTCCACCTATAGCCACTGAAAATCATCGATGCGCCACCTTAAATTTTTATTTGGGTATAAGGCATGGAGCGCAGAGGCAATAATTTCTATCAATAAATATTATCGATTTGTTTGAATAGATGGCAGATATGTGCTGCAATGGCGTTAAATGAGCATGCAGGCGCGCGTGATCGGTGATACCAGCCGACGCATAAATTGTATATACCAGGTTACAAATCCATAATATCGAGTGATTCAATGATGTGTAATCCATGATGTAAGGCTATTTGTAATCCATGGTGTCAGACGATTTGTAATCTATGATGACAGACGGCTTGCAATCTATGATGTCAGGCGATTCAAGGATTTGTGATCTATGATGTACATGGATTTGTAATGTAAAAGCGATTCTTTGAGAGCTAGGCGAAGAACGCGACGATCATATATCAATGATCGTAAAAAAAGCGAAACAAACAGAAGCGAAAAGATGATGGAAGATAAGTACTCTTCTATATTCTCAGTTTTTAAAGCCGAAACGGAAGAAGCTCACAAAAAAAATTGAGAAAGAGAGCCAAAATGGAGGAGAACCACAAGAAAGATTTGAGCTTTTTGCGTAACAAATTACACTCGTTACGGAACGAGCTGATGGAAATGAAAGCTCATCTGTACAAAACAGAAAAAATGATAACACAGAAGGTAAGGGCCGCAAAGAGGTCATCTCTGATCTCGCCAGCGAGAGCACGCGTGAGCTGCTGGATTGATTGATAAGAAAAGCTAACCTTGTTTGGGTTGGCGTTCCAAGAAGCAATGCTTCGGAGATAAGTGAGAGAATGGCTGATGACGCTGCGTTTATTACTGATTGTTGTGCCAAGGCACTTAACGTAGTTGTGGACATAACGGCATGCAAGTGGCTGCGATCGAAAGACGCTACCCCCTGTAGACCGCTGCTGGCAACTGTGCAGGATACAGCCCAGGGCGGGTATGCGCTTAAGGCTGCGAGATAACTAAGTGAATTCCCAGATTTTAATTCCGTCTTTGTTAAGAAGGATGCTATCCCTTTAGAGAGAGCGGATTTCCGCCAGAAATGGCTGGAAAGAAACAGGCGAAGAAAGGAAGAAAATCAAACTGTGGTCCAGTCTCAAGAAGCCAAGATGGAACCTACCGCAGATTCTCAGCCACAGAAGTCGAAAGATATGTGAATGAGATAAATTACGTACAAATAAATAGGAGTGTAAGTAAAATTAGTGGTAGTTATAGAAATCCAAGGTCACGACAAAATAATTTAAAATGTTTATACACGAACTCTGACTCTGATATGAACAAAAGAAGTGGGCTTCTATCGGTGAAGGACAGCGAGTGTCCAGAAATTGTTTGTATTACAGAAACACTCCTAAAAATCACGGTGAGAATATTGTACCAGTTGAGTTCAAGTTGCAAGGTTTTTATTTTTTATACAACATAGGCGAAGAGCAGTGCAGCAGAGGTGTAGCTCTGTGTGTCAAAACCCTTCAATGGGCCCAACAAGTGAAGTTGTCTAAAGAGCACCAATCAGCTAGAGAATCAGTGTGGTGCGAACTTTCTCTCAAAGGCAAAGATAGCCTCCTCATAGGCATCATGTATAGATAACCAAACAGTTCCTCTGATAACGATAAAATCTAAACAGTCTTTTACCGAGCATGACTTTTCGTAAGTCACACACGCTGATTGTTGGTGATTTTAATCATCCAGAACTAGACTGGATAGAAGGATCCTTTCCAAGAGATGATTCGAATCACCCAGCATCCTTGTTCATGGAGTCTGTGAAAGAGTCCTTCCTAGTCCAGCACGTTACCAAGCCAACCCATTATAGGAGTAAACAGACTCCCAATATTCTAGACCTGGTGTTTAATAGTGATGAATCAATGTTAGATGAGCTTCGTCACAAGGCTACATTGGGCAAAAGTCATCACCATTCATTCTTTTTCAGTATTCAGTGCTGTACAAAAAAGACGCCTCGGAAGAGCGAGTGTTTGAATTTTGTGAAAGGCGACTATGAACAACTCCGCGAAGCAGTGAATATTTTGAACTGTATTAAGGATATGACGGTGGCTGAGTCATAATCATTTCTCAAGGATTGCTTCATTGTTGCTTCGGAGAACCCAAGTTATCAACCTGCTCTATATTCCGTAACTACGTTCCCCATATGTCTAGTGCTGCACTCAAAAATTTAGAGCTCACAAATAAATATTGGGCTACCAAAATATCTAACATAAGTTAGGTTCTACAATCTAAAAATTTGCAAACAAATTAAATCTTACACTATCCATGTCCCATATGATAGATAACCTTGTGCCATGATATCCTTGTTGTTCCATTTAAACTGAGATGTCTTAACAAAGGGCAGGTGAAGCTTCGCAAACTTTTTGTTAATAAAAACGAAACTTTTGCGGATGTCAGTATAATTACACAATCACCGTAGAGATAACTTTATTAATTTTTTCTGCTAGTTATGAAATAATCTAATTAGAAAACAATTACATGGAGCAAGATATGGAAAACGTGTCGGGCGAACTATTTAACCTACGAACGCTTGAAGTGACGATCAGCGGCGGATACATTAATTTGAGACCCACCCTTCTGATGCACCCCTTCAATGCTTGCTTCTTTCTGCCGTTTAGCGAATTTTAAATAATGATGTTACTCTGACAATCACTGAATTGTTTATTGGTGCACCTTTGAAAACACGAACTCTGAACAATTACATGAGTGAACATTACATTATACAGCAGTTTTTAAGGTTGTTGAAGTGCAAGATCCAATTGGTGATCAGAATTTAAATGGAAAATGCACTATTAATAAAATTTAATTCAAAACCTGGACGGGACAAAAAAATGAAATGGAAGGTTTGAAATATATCTGGGCGGCAGTTCATTTTTTTAATTTTGCCTCTTTTTATTTTGCACTCACCGTGATGTCTGCCGGCACGAGATTGATACCTGATGCGGACATGACAAGTCATCATTACTCAATCTCTCGCGGTGCTAGAGCTAATCTTGCAATCAACATTAAAACATTCGTTTCGACGCGGCCAGAACCTACAAACACGACTTAGGCATTTCGTTAATGTTAGTAACTATCTTCAGCAGTGGTTTCTACTCTCCTCTCAGCGGTTCGGCTGGAGTGGTACCTAAGTAATACCCAAGTTTCATCATACCATTTGTTTTTCTATACTATCTGATTTGTCAGAGTCCTGATGTGCAGAATCAAGTTTATCATTCGTCTTTAATTATCACCATCGCATATTCTGTGTATTATGTATACTTCATATTTTAAATGCACAAGTCAAAATCATGGTGGGGTTTCAAAAATAGAACCGCCCATTCTTTCGATGTAAATAAAGAGAAAAATTAGCTCAAAATCAGAGCAAATCCTGCATAGATTGTAAATGAATTACATTCATCCACCATTGCTGGAATTCACAAAGAAAGCTGACGGTTATATACATAGTCTTCGATCACTAACATATAAAGGATCAATAAATGAGCGTTAAGTTAGCCAGATCCCATTTATAGAAGTTGTCAAAGTTACCGTTGATTCTATTACTAACGTTAATTATATCATCGTCTAATATATTCAATTATTACATATTAAATACTTTAATAGTCAATAGTTTACTTATATTATCATATGGGATTATTATTAATATTTTTAGCAATGAAGATGATCATAACATATAGAATGATGAATGAAAAACCGATATTATCGAGAAATTAACAATTTTCTCCGGGCAATCAAAATATAATCAAAATCGTTGACGTTTATAATCAAAAATCAAAAAATAATCAATGATTGTAACGTCAAAACGTCATTGCCTTGCTCGGTTACGCCAAGCGATAAGTAGATTGAAATTTAACATATTAAATTTTCGAACAATTTATGAACTGTTGCATATGCATTTGCATTTTTTCTTGTCCTCGAAATTCTTGAAAATCGTTACTGTACAACTTGATTTCAATGAAGCCGTACCTGCATATTCTATATTAATAACATTGTTGTAATCTACACTTCAGAACAAAGCGTAGTACTCCGGGTAGTACTCTACACTTCAGAACAAAGCGTAGTACACCGGGTAGTACTCTACACTTCAGAACAAAGCGTAGTACACCGGGTAGTACTCTACACTTCAAACAACGTGTAGTACACCGGGTAGTACTCTACACTTCAAAACAATGCGTAGTACACAGGGTAGTACTCTAGTCTTCCATTAACAGGCAGTACACCGGGTAGAACTCCCGAAAATCATACTTGACAAATATGGTTGGGTTGTTGATATCGTCTACCGTGGTGTCCATGGAACTGCAAAAATCAAACAACTGTACAAAATGCAACATCACGAATAATAATTTGTAAATATTATTGATTCCATAATTTATTTCACGAAAATAAGCATTTTTTGAGTAATTACGGGCAAACTTTTATTGTTTTACTCGCCACCAGCCACAAGGTTACACTACAAACTTTATATTCGAATAAATAGGATATTAGGACTTAGTGGTAAACAGTTTATACTCGGCATATTCCTCGTTCTGAAGTGATGTGTGTTATGTAATGGGCACACTTCAGTTGAGTATCTAGCGCACCATCACCGCACACATGATTTGCATTGTTACTTGAACCAGCACAGAAAATACTAATGATGTCGATACGATTCCGTTGTTAGGAGCTCTTTAGGATTGAAACTCAGGATAATTAGGGGTCGAGGTGTAGGTATTTAGGGTTTAGATATAAAATATTTAGGATTGAAACATAAGATACTATGGGGTTGAGGTATAGGAAACTGGGAGTGAGATGTAGGATATTTAGGAGTGAGGTATAGGATATTTAGGATCTAGGTATAGGATGTTCAAAGATTGAGATACAGGATTTATAAGGATTAGAGATAAAGGATTTTCAAGGATTGAGGTATATGATATTTAGGCTTTTGATATAGTATGTTTAGGGTTGATATATAGGATTTTTATGATTGAGTTTTTGGATTTATATTGATTGAGATATAGGATTTTTAGGGATTGAGGTATAGGATATTTAGGGTTGAAATATAGGATGTTCAGGATTGAGATATAGGATATTTAGGATTAAGCTATACTATGCAGTACTTGTCCTCTGGAGCCTTGCTGATATTTGAGTTGCCCTTGATGAAGAGTCCAACGAGAACCTTGCAAATGAAAATTGCATCGCCATAGCGACGGGACATTTCTACACTGCAGAGATGAAAAGACGTTACAATTTAATAATGAAGTGTCAGTTTACGTGGAATATCAAGAAAAATAATGAATGATCAATAATCATAAAAATGAATTGGTCATAATGTCTAAATAGTGACACTTTCTGATGGTAGTCCTGATACGACCTTTTGCTGGGCCAAAATTGATCAGGATAACCCACACTAGGGCTAAAGTGTATCTCTATTTGCACAAAGTCCCGTATATTTCTCTGAGTACGTGTGTGTTTGTTTGCTGGCAGTTACTGCACAAGCTAAGGTCGTGACTAGAACTGACATGCCATAAACGATCCATTTTTATGAAGGAAATTTTGATAAGACAATTCTCAAGTAATGAAAGTAGGTTGAATGCATGATAAATGCGAAATGAATTCGAACTGTTGAGACTTCTTTATCTTAGCCTAAATTATTTGTAGTGAAGCATACAGTAACCTGCAAAGACTCCTTCAATAAATTTCGTTAATAAATCAAGCAAGATACACTACAGAAATTGTCTTATGGCAGTTGGGAGTAAGATATTCATTCAGAGTTTCCGTAATAATTCGGATTCATTAGCAGTGGTTCCAATCTACAGACAAGCATTCATGAATGTTGCGGGGTGAGGGCATTTCCTATTTCGCTAGGTCAAGTAGTATTTAACGGAATTTGTGATATGCAAAACCCAAGCTTTCAACATTAAAGTCTATGTAAATCACCTCACAGTTCGACGTTTTGTCAGTTAACGTTAACCAGCACAAACGAATGGAAAACGCCCAGTGACATACAGAATCGCTGTGGTGAAGAGATGAATAGTTATAGCTGGGAGACATAATGGTTAATAATGTTATAAATGAAAAAAAATATGGTAAAATGACTGAAAGCAACTTACTCGTTCGTGAAATAAGCTCCCTTTCCGCATATATAATTGGGTCCATGCCGTGCAAAGTCGATGTTTTCGTGGGCTATGGATATGGCGTTGCTGGAGCTCGTGCCATGGAAGAGTTCTTTTATCTCGTACTTAACATGTGGATTTTTTCTCTGAAGTTGAGCCATCCTCGCTTTAAAAACATCTTCTCGCTTAGTGTTGATGACTTGATAGATGAGCTTAGGCTTTTTGTCTAGTTTGAGGGGAGCTACAACTTTAGTGTACTTACGAAACCATGGTTCAAATGCATAGTTCATGGCGCCCCAGCGATCCTCCGCAACTCGTCGCACGTCCCTGATAACTTGGGTTCTCAGGTTGGTCTGTTTCATCGTGTTGAAATCAAGTCTGTACTGAAAAGTGGGACTCGTGATTCGAATTATCGCATTTGGATTTTTAGCAAACTGTCGCTCTATAGCTTCTGAAGAGGTGGTCACTTTACAAGCCGAGTTCTTGCTAGAGCTGATTTTTCCATACTGGATCCAGTTGCCAAATTCATCTTGGAACTGCCACTTGTATCCCATTTCTGAATAGGCGTGGTCGTCAATGGGGACAGAAACAGGGATGTAAACTCTAGACTTATGGAAGAAGAAGCCGTTCCAGTTCGGGAGGTCGTTGTAGTGCTGGTCAGATGAATCGGCTGTCAAAGAGGAGACAACGGCTCTACTAACAATTAGGTACATAAACATTAAAAATGAAAATGCGCTTCGGAACTGAAGTCTATAACGAAGATTCTTTTATAACACTCATTTTACCTCGCATTAACTTGGCGTATAAATTCATTAATCATAAAATAAAAGTTTTTACTGAGAGTTAGAATGTAGGCGGAGCCAAGCGAGCGAATGTAACAAGTTCTTATCATGGTGTAGGCTCGTTCAGTACTTGTGAAAACCTGAATGCGCATTTTCGCCACATGCACAACTGAAAGGGTGATCTCGATTGGTGCAAGCTGACAGTTTTCTCGACAAATGATATAACTTCAATTGAAGGTGAAATACCAGGTTAAGCCATGTGGTTGTATTAGTTCCAGTATGCTTATGAATTTAAACGTCTTAACAAGGTTAGTTAAGTTGAATGTCTTAACAAAGTTAGATGGAAGAATGGTAATTAGTTAAATGTTCGTGCCGAATTATTCAGTTCCGCCTTACCAAGCGAGATTTAGAAGACGGTTATTAGAGGGAAAATTAGTATTGGCACTTCAACAGTCGAGCTTTTACACGCGATATTTAATTTTTTAGTATTTACAATCTTGGATATCGTAATGTTTTTACTTATGCCATTAGCATTCTATGAAATTGCAGAATTTCAGGCAATAAATTGTTTTCCAATAAAGATTAATCAATTTCTTGACAGTCGTGCGCTACACAGTCGTGCTCCTGACAAAACTTGGTGCTTTAAACAAGACCCAATAGCCAATTTTTATGTTCAAACGAGCGACAAAGAGGTGGCCAGACACCTCATCATACGAGATATTTCATCACTAGGGCAATTGATCGGTGAGACGTCATGACTATAACGATTAACCATGAAATTTCATCATTGCATTAAGTGCATTTTGCAAATATATGTACAACAAGTTATGTGGGGTTGAATTAATGCGTCAACGATGAAAGGTCTACTGTGACGAGGTGCCAGGGAAGCGTCCCACCTCACACGTCGGTCACTCAACACTGAATGAACGAACTTTGTAACCTTATCTCAGAAGATAAGAAACGGCCTTGCTCCGTTCGGTGTGAACTTTTTTGACATTGCTTTGATTTTTTGACTTGAAGTTCATATATATTTAGGATGGAAGGCAAAGAAGAAACACTAATTCCTACCAATTTTTGGTCATCGGTTAGATTTCAGATGAAAACTGGTGTGAAATATTCGCAAAATGAAGCTAGAGAATAGAACTCAGGTATGCATCCTCAGCAACGCCCTCTCGCCCTCGACTTGAATAACGGCTTGGCTAAAGACAAGGCTGAAACGGTTAGAAATTAGTTTCATCTAAGGCTCATTCATAAGTTCTACAGGAATACACAAAATAAGATTCTTAGTCTAAAACCTGAAGGCATTTTGCAACTGATCCGGCAACCCTTGGCTGATTGAGCTCGTCCTTATCAACATGAGTCAGACTATCAAAATACCGATGAAAACACGTAGCGACTACCGAGTACCTCATGCACGTACAATATTCTCGGCACTGCGGACGGTCTCAAAGATTTTACACGTACGCAGTGAGCTTAAAATATCTCGCAGAATATTGAACGCAGCTCGATGGAATTTGGCACATAATTGCACTAAGATGATGACTATTATAAGACGGCAATGTTTAGGACGTGATTATTGCTTTCCGCACCAAGCTGCGTTTAAGAAGTAATGCGAAACTTTACGAGTGATCGGAGGTTACGTAACTTGAGTCAAGCACAACTTTTGAGTGCGTGAAGTGATTGGAAATCGTTGATTGTATATTACAACAGCGAATTGGGCAAGCGTTTCGTTCTTCCTTACTAATTATGTTGTATACAAATTATGTGTCCGTTCTATTCGTGAACTGATTTCAGATGTGCATTAATTTTTCTCTAACGGTAATGACACATGAGTTACCCCTTTAATTTAATTAGCGGCATTTGAATTGGATCGATGTTATTCAATGTTAAAATTAAATAAGAGTTTTTTAGTAACATCTACGCAGTTCCTAATCTATCTAACATCGACCAAAAGCAGAGATATTTAATTCTAATTACAGCGTTATCATTATTGGTGGGTGATTTACGCGCAGTACGAGGAATCGCAGCGGCGACAAGCGAACGTGCAGGCTTCGCTATTCTGGAACATGATGATTTTTCGGGAAAAAAAAACTGAGAAAATTATGCGTTTAGGGGCATAAGTGTTACCTGCGAACTAAGTCCAACATTTACAATAATAATTTTAGAAATAGTCTGGCGTCTCCACCTCTCCCTTCGCTCAAACAGGCAGGGAATTTTAGAATTCATCGTGCTGTGATTCACCTATGATGTGACCTCGTGTAGACGCGCGTTGTACTTTTGCATTGCCGTGTGATCCACCACTTAGGTATGTGTTTTATTTGGTCTGTTCTTTTGTGATAATCATTAATAATTTGCCCATAAAGTGGTGTGCGCTATTGATAATCTGGAATAGTATTATTTATATTGGTGTATTATTTACTTCTGTCAAGTTAACGTTATGTTCTCTTTTGTTTGGTTTAGTTCATTGAAAGTTCTTATTTTATTTTTATTTATAGGCATTGGTAGAAAAGCTCCGAACCTGAGACTTGATCACGGTTCGATAGACAAAGGCTAGGAAGACACGCGGTTTATATATTTGTATTCATGAATTAATTGTTTTGTTCATTTATACTTTCAGTTATAATCTTTTTCATCCTTACATGTAATTGTTTGCCGTACGATCAGATTAGGCGAGTTGGTGTGTCCCGGTGACCGCAACAACTTCTTTGCTGAAGGTAGTCAATATCAAAAGGCTGATGAATCTGCTAAAATTAACATTATTATTGCGTTTAAATTTATTTATTATATGACATTTGCGGCTTTTTGGGCTGGAAGGCGTCTGACGATGGCACCGAGGCGGCGTCCGCTTGCAGGGGATTCCATTCGGGATCAAGGTTCTGGAAGAAGAAGTTATTGATATTAATTGTTCTTATATACATTTTTCCGACGGAGAACTTGTTGAAATTATGAGTAGATAGATTTCAAGTATGAAAGTTTTTGCTATTAGAAATTTCTTAGAATTTATAAAAGTTTTATATGACATTTATTGAACGAATGGATTCGACAACAGCCATGCCTGCAAGAGTTAAAGACTTCAACTTTTGCAGCCAACGTACACCTTACTAGGTGTGAAAGGAGACGCTAACACCTCTTATCGAGGCAGCGTGGCATAATAAACTCGCTATCATGCTCGTAAATAATCATGCTCGCTATCATGTTCGCAGCGAGCAGCTATGAGGATAATAGTAAGCCGCTACCTGATGTGAAGAATTTATTGATTGATTATGTTGATTTACAACAAAACTCCAGTAATCCCAACCTGAGTTTACATAATCCAGCGCGCGGTGCGATCAAGAAGGTTCCACATCAGCCAACATGAAAATGCTTTCATCACAGCTCATATGAAACATTCGTCGCAACTCGAATGAATCAATGAAATTGCTGAATCAGTTGCTGCAAATTAGACTCCTGTGCTTGGTACTTTTCTCCATTCGAGACGAGGCGAGACAACATGGCAACAGGGTTTGTCCCGGTTAGCAATAAAAACTGGGACAGTTCCCAGCACTCCGTGGGAACTCCATGACAATAACGAGACGAGACGTCCCGGTTAAAATATGAGTTTTAAAGTTTCCCGGAATTTTCATCTTTTATAGCGAGACATAACGAGACATAGCGAGACATTACGAGACTCATACTAGTTAATCTAGACACTATAGTTAATCCTTAATAAGTAATTAAAATAGTAAATTGTTTCAGACATTATATCTGATCAAAATTTTGTCTCTTTACAACGTTCTATGACTATTACTATGTAAAATGACATCGCTGTTGCCCATCTAGCAAAGGTAAAGGGCCAGAGTGTATTGAAAACATAAATAATTGTTAGAAATGCCCAGCTGGAGGAATTATTACAGATTTCTTCGTTATTTCGTTTTTGATTAAAAAACAAATTTCACGCAACTGAACAGCCCACAAGTCCCATAGTTCTGAACGGATCTGCATGAAAATTAAAACTTATGTAATTAATAGCCTGATTCCGTGGTAGAAATCGACACAAATTTTTGCGTTGCTTCGTTTTCGATTCAAACTACGGTCAGTACTAACCGTCACTAATTACCAGGCTAGTGGCCTCGTGTACAGGGGTACTGCCTGCATCAGGGGTTAGTAGCGAGTAGCGGCCAGTAGCTGCTAGATGTGAGCCGACTTCCAGCCAAGAAGATTTTACGAGACATCTTCCGTGTAATAATTAAGCTTCTCTTTTAACAATCTTTGCTGTAAAATTAAATGACCAAGAGGTCAAACGAGCAAGTTCAGAGAGCGGAAGAATGTACGATCTCCCCTTGTTTGGGACTAATTACTCTCATCTGCGGTAGGCTACAGGTACGTGGTGATGGCATTGCTTCGCTTGGGTGTAAACTTTGGCTTTGGTTAACCGACATCAAAACTTACGGCGTATATGTTTACTAAGATCATGCAAGTATAGACTTTTACAATTCAATTAAGTCTCATCTTCATTTCAGATGTTCTCCGGCATTATATTTCTAAAGCCTTTGAGATAACCAGCGTCGGCACGGAGAAGGTATCTACGTATCCCCGGTGAGTTGACATCATTGATCTTGTAAATAACGCCACAAAATTTACGACGACAATTTTTTGATTCATAACTCGGCCATCACGAGTCTTGCCTTTTCTTTGCTCCTAAAAATATTTCTAGTTACCACTTCAGATTCGTGGCATCTTGCAGGCCTTGATAAAGCCCATCCACAGTCTACCAAGCGGCTGACTGATCGACACTGCGTCACCGACTCGCGATGATGCTATTATGCGTACTGAACTCGTATGGTTCTCGTCATGCGCGATTGAAGGCTCAACAGCAACATCATTAACTAAATATTAAGTCACACATCGTCAAGTCTGCCCACTAAATTATCTGCCAAATTAGTTTGGCAGTCAAATGTCACCGAATCTGCCCATGACTGACAACTGCCCATCAAACCCCCAGGAATTAACTTTTTATTCCTTAACCACGCGTTCGGAATGTCCAGTTTTGTGTTCGTCTAGTAAGAAATATCTTGTTGTGCCTTGAATATTTAGGAAATATCTCTTCTCGTTACGTAACGTCTCGTTTCATATCTATCTGTCTCGTATCGTTTCATAATTACCGAGACACCAG